ACTTAAGCCCAAGAGTTTGACGTTCCTGTGAGCTGTGACACCACAGCACTCTACAGAGGGTGACATAATGAGACTCTTTCTCATAAATGAACATTGAAAGTGCACTATACTATTTTATTTATTTTTGAGACAGATTCCCACTTTGTCACCCCTGGTAGAGTGCCGTGGCATCATAGCTCACAGTAGCCTCAAACTCTTGGGCTCAAGTGATTCTCTTGCCTCAGCCTCCCGAATAGCCAGGACTACAGGTGCTCACCACAATCCCTGGCTATTCTTTTGAGACAGGGTCTTACTCTGGCTCAGGCTGGTCTTGAACTCTTAAGCTCAAGAGATCCACCCACCTCAGCTTCCAGAGTGCTGGGATTACAGGTGTAAGCCACCACGCCCAGCCCCAACCTTTTCATCATAGCATCATAGAAAGACATCCTGTGCTCATGGACCATAAAGAATTAGCATGAATTAAAATGACCATACTACTCAAAGCAATCTACAGATTCAACATAATGCCTATCAAAATACCAATGACATTATTCACAGGAATAGGAAAAATAATCCTAAAATTCACACGGAACCAAAAAAGGGCCCAAATAATCGAAGTAATCCCGAGCAGAAAGAGCAAAGTGAGGACATCACACTACCTGATTTCAGTCTCAAGTTTTTTAAAAGAGTATTTTTTAGGGGGATACATTGGAGTATATATCCCAACATATAATCCCAAATATATACTTGGGATTTATTTAAAAAATAATCTTTAAAAAAGATAATCTGGGATAAGAGAAGGGGAGAATGTGAGTCAGACACGGCTAATCCATGATTAGCCAGGAGGTGATAACCACGAAGCTGAGAAACAAGCACATGAGCATTTACTATACCAGGGTTTCTCAACTCTCCTAATGCTGCGGCCCTTTAATACAGTTCCTGTGGGTCATGACTCAGGTGGAGAATCGCTGTACTATACTATTTTCTCTACTTTTTTTTGAAGAGGGGGACAGAGTCTACTATGTCACCCTCTGTAGAGTATGGTGTTGTCACAGCTCACAGCAACCTCAAACTCTTGGACTTAAGTGATTCTCTTGCCTCAGCCTACCAAGTAGCTGGGACTACAGTTGTCCACCACAATGCCCAGCTATTTTTTGTTACAATTGTCATTGTTCAGCAGGTCTGAGATAGGTTTGAACCTGCCAGCCCTGGTGTGTCTGTCACCCTAACCACGGAGCAACAGGCACTGAGCCAGTTTTTTTTTTCTTTTAGACAGAGTCTCACCCTCTCACCCTCAGTAGAGTGCCATGGTGTCATAGCTCACAGCAACCTCCAACTCTTGGGCATAGGCGATTCTCTTGCCTCAGCCTCCCAAGTGGCTGGGACTACAGGTGCCCAGCCACTTTTTGTTGCAGTTTGGCCAGGGCTGGGTTCAAACCTGCCACCCTCAGTATGTGGGGGTGCCTTACCCACTGAGCCACAGGTGCTGCCCGACTGAGCCAGTATTTTCTCTTCTTTTATATACTTGAAACTTTTCATGAGTGTTAAAAAATAGAAGTATAACAAATGCTCAGTTTACCTTATCTTTAGAGGAGTGCTTTTTGGTGGTTTTGGGCTGATCACTATTTTCTATGGTAACAGTGGCACCGCACTGGTCATGATCTGGCTCCTGGAAACTCCTGGATCTCATTCTTCCCAAAGGTAAAGGTTTTGAAGCCTAAGTAAATACCATGTACATAACCCAGAAACTTTAGAAGTTTTGGACAGCATCTTAATTTCTAACTCACTTAAAATATGTACAAAAGATTTTTCTTTGAAAATATATTTTCTTAAAATACAAAGCATAAAGGTTTAAACTTCTTGAGAACTACATCATGCTTTGTGTACTCAAACTCCCAGTATCAAACACACTGTACAAACTCAATTACATATAAAAATGGTGATTCTTGTAGCTGATAACAGATCTAAAATGAATACATGTTCTTCACAAAAGCCTAATTAGTTTTTTTCTTACCCTTTCTTCTATTATAGGAAGTGAAATATCAATGAAAGGATCTTTCACTGTGGAGATCTTAAAAAGAAAACATTGAGAACCTCAGTTAGAATTTTAATACTTGAAAGAAACCAAATTTCCCAGGCTACCTAGAATTTTTTTTTATTCTTTCTTTCTTTCTTTTTTTTTTTTTGAGACAGTCTCACTTTGTCACCCTCCACAGAGTGCATGGCATCACAGCTCACTACAACCTCAAACTCTTGGGCTCAAGTGATTCTCTTGCCTCAGTCTCCCAAGTAGCTGGGACTATAGGTGCTTGCCACAAGGCCCAGCTATTTTTAAAGATGGGGTCTTGCTCTGGCTCAGGCTGGTCTTCAACTCATGAGCTCAGGTGATCCACTCACCTGGGCCTCCCAGAGTGCTAGGATTACAGGCGTGAGCCGCTGTATCTGACCTTACCTAGAATTTTTAAATTAAAAAAATGTTCCTGGAATAAACAGTGATTTCAGTATTGCACTATTGTATTGTTAATCAAAACAAGATATTTCAAAACTTTAATGAACACAATCATATTGTGACAGGTCAATATAACTTGTAACATTTAAAATTTCAAAATAGCCAGGCGCAGTGGCTCATGTCTATAATCCTAGCACTCTGGAAGGCTGAGGTGGGTGGGATATCTAAACTCACGGGTTTGAAATCAGCCTGAGCAAGAGCAAGACCCCCTCTCTAAAAAAAT